GGATTTCGTGTGTTGAGATGAGGGTCGGGATGTCTCGCCTGGCACCAGAATGAGTGATGATGGGCAGAAGTGGAAGTTGAATAGAGCTGTCGGTGGCGCGGAGCCAGCCCGGGGAGGCAGTAATTAAAACTTAACGAGTTTAGAAACGGAGTAATCCTGGGAGAGGGGAGGGATGCTCTGCATGGACAGGGTGGCTCAGGGATGCTCTGTCCATGCAGGGGCTGGGAATGGCTGTGGGTGCATCAGCAGTGTGGGTGAGGGATGTGGGGTGCAGCTCCCCGTACTGGGGGTGGATTGTGCCCCCCCAGCATCTCCCCATGCCAGGGGCAGGAGGGACTTTCCCTGGATCCTGGCTGTGCCTGTGAAGGATACATGGAGCATCCCTGTGCTGCAGGGGGGACATGCCCCAGGCTTAGAGTGAGGTTCGAAAAGACCTTTAAGATCATCAAGTCCAACCCAGGACTGCCAAGCCCACCACTAAACCCTATCACTGGGGTTTCATCTGCGTGTTTTGTGGCATCGAGCATGCCACCAAGCATTTCCAACCTCAGCATCCTCACCATTCCTCCCCAGGTCTCTCCTGGAGCTGGGAATCCCGCCAGCACCACTGGCTGCTCTCACCCTTGTGCATTGCACCCCTTTTCCTGGGAGGTGTTGGTTGGGGCTCACTGGGGCTCCCCATGAGCCATCCCGGTTCATCCTGGTCCGATGGTTGTGGAGCTCATGGTGTGTTTTAAGGGAAGGAGCCACTCTCCCAGTTTGGCAGCGCGTTTCCATGGTGACCAGCCTTCCCTTCCCGCAGCCGCCAGCTTGCCACCGAGTGACTTGTTGGCGTGTGGTGACGGGCAGGTGGGGAACGGGAATGGGAATGGGAATGGGAATGGGAATGGGCTTGGCAGGTCCCCAGCCCCCAGCCAGTGCAGCGGAGCCAACCCCTGGGAGCATCCCTGAGGATCACAGAGGGAGGAATGCATGCAGAGCCATTGGAGCATCCCTGGGGATCAGGTGTGATCAGGGACCACAGAGGGATCAGGGACAAGCCTGGCTCTGTGTGTGCTTTCCCCTGGGAGCATCCCACAGGATGCCTTCACCCACTTGCTGCCTGCCGCTGGCATGGGGTGCATGGAGACAGCTTTCCCATGGGACTCCGCTTCCTCCCACGCTTGGGGACCCCACAGCAAAACCCCATCCCCTCCAATGCCTGTTGTGACCTTGGTTAGGGTGATGGCAGGGTTCTGGGTGGTGGAAATGTGCCGGGACACTGTGCTCCCATGTCCTGGCACTGTCTCCAGGGCCTGCTCCGGTTTTCCCTCTGCTCTCCAGGGCCTGCTCCGGTTTTCCCTGTGCTCTCCAGGGCCTGCTCTGGTTTTCCCTGCATAATCTCTCCGGCGAGCTCTCCAGAGCCTGACTTCTCCTCGTACGAGGAATCATAACATGCAAATCAGGCAGCTTGATGCCTTTAATGAAATCCTCGGAAGGAAAGCGCTTCTCTGGTGAATTGAGGATATTTATTTCTCATACAAGAAATTTAACATGCAGATTAGTTGGGTCTGGTAATTCATCACATGAGATTGTCCTATTAAGGGCTGCACCGAGTCCTGCTGCCTGGAGAAATTACCTTCCACATAGATTACCTCTGGACAGACACCCATCCGTAGAGATGCATCTCCTATGTACTAAATCAGCCTCTTGCCTCTCCCCACGTCCCTCCACAGCTGGTGCAGGAGCTACTAAAGGATGTTCCACCTCTTCCCAAGAGCCCAGATCCCCTTTTCCAGGAGCTCGGAGCCCGGGAAAGTGTAATTACCTCCCTGGCACTGGCTGGCTTTGCTGCTGCAGTGCTCCCTGTGCATCCCCACAGCTAAACAGGGTTTGTAGGACAGAGCTTCCCAGTGCTCCTCTGGGTTCCTTGGGTGCAACACAGCCCCATGGACAGATCGGGGCTGTTTTGACACCCACCCCCCCTTTATGGGATGTTCTGGGATGTGTGTTCTCCAGGGATGCTGCACACACAGCACTGCTCCAAGCCCTTATGGCCTTTGGAGGGCCCCAGATGTTTGATGCCTCTGCTTTGTCCCCAGATAGTGTAAAATATGGAGCCAGGATCCTCTCAAAACCACAGAGCTGGGGGAAAACGGGGTGTTTTACCCCTGGCTCCCTGCCGGGACCCCAACCTGTGCCACTGCTCACTGGAGCACATCCCTGCTCCAGCTGGACCAGCTCTTCACCAGCCCAGGTGTAAAGCACAGCCCTTCCTGAGGGAGCTAATTGCATCCAATGACATCATTAATGGGAGCTGATAAAGCAGAGGGGCTGCAGTGGGGGCTCAGCAGTGAGCTTCTGCTGCCTGTGCCTTCAGCCTGGCCAGCTTCGTGTCTGGCATTGCCAAAGCTCCCGGGAGTGCCAGTGAGGCAGCACCAAGCTGGTAATGGGTGTATGGGGTGGGCTTTGCTGGTGATATTCGTGCTGTGAAGGCTCCTGCCTTGCTCTGTGCCTTGTGTGGCTTTGAGGATGGCACAAGAGCAGCAGTGCCTGTGAGCCGCGTGGGCATTGCGGCTGGCAGGGTAGAGGAAGGTGATGGAGGGGATCTCCACGCTGGGACCTTACGTGGGCTCAAGCAGCCATGGGAAGGAGACCAGCAGAAGGTTTTCAGACCTGAAGATGCCACCTGAGCTGGATGGTGGTGGCTGAGCTGGTGAGGGCCATGCCGGAGCCTTCCGGATGCTTCACATGGCTTGAGGCTTGTGCCCTCGCTCCCCCTGCTCTGCAGGCAGCTGGCAGATTAATACATGGGCGTTAATTATTAACTGGTTCCTTGTTCTGACCTGGCCAATTGAGGCTGCGATTTACAGCGCCGCCGAGCTCCCATTCCCTCTGGGAAGCAGCGAGGCTCCGGCCACGTGTGTCACAACAGAGCCCTTTCCAATCAGGAGCTAATTGAGATCCAATAATACACTTAACGGGGGCTGATGGAATACCAGGGCGGGTGTTTAAAAGCATATTGAGCGGCAGCCGGGCGGGCGGAGGTGCCGGGACACGCTTCTCGGATGCTGGGAGTCGTTAAACCTTTGCTAAGTGTGTTTTAATGCTCACTTGACATTTCATTATCACACAGTAACTGTTCAGATGCACGTCCCCTCTAGAATTAATTAGTCGTTATACAGGATATTAATCAAAGGGGACTGTGCCAATGTGCTGCTGTCCAAAATCCCATCCAGCTGTTGCCGTTACTGGGCGGCGTTGGAAGAACCACATGGATTCCTGCACTCGTCTGGTTTTTCCATTTGATGGATCAAATCCTTTGGCTGATGCTTTTCCCGGCCCCTTTCCACCCCCTCAATCTAATAATAATTCGGCAGCATCAGCCCCATGCTTCTGAGCAACCCTACAACAACAGAGCCACAGGGGCTGGGGCCTCGTGGCACCAACCAGCCCCACGGTCACAAGGCTGCGTGTCCAGTCTGGCGATGCTGGTGCCTTGATGGGGTTACGGTTGACGGCAGTGCTGTGCCATCCAGGGATGGGATGGGTGGACGGGAGGTCATCATTCCCAATGTGCAGCTCATCCATCTGTCATCATGCGATGCCAAAGTCTTCCACTGTCCAACTGCTGCTGCAAACCCACCGCTCCCTTGGCACGGGGCTTGTGGCTCTGGATCCCCCTCCTGACCCTGGGGTCGTGCTGATTTCCATCAGTGCTGCCTCCTGAAGCACGGGTCATTCCTCGCTTCCGAAGTGCTTTTCCCTGCAGAAGGTGCCCTGTCAACCTCTGTCTTTACAAACCAACCCCCGGAACAGCTGAGTCAGCAGCAAGGGCTGCACCGGGAGCACGGCCAGACCTCTGTCCTGGCTCGAGCAGCGTGACACGTGTCCCTGGCCTGGTCGGCGGGTGAAGACACCCGGCTGGGGCCGTGCCCGAGCATCACATCCAGTGGAAGAGCTGTTTGCTTGGCGTGGTGGGACCAGGAGAGCAGCGTGGCCATGGCTTGCTCAGTCTCGGGGGCTTCACCCCTCCTCCTGCCCACAGCACAGGGGTGAAATCGGTTACCATCCCCTTCACAGCCCTGTGTGATGGGGGAAGGAAATCAAATCAGAGTGGCCTTGGATAAAAGCCTCTGTGGAAGCAGAGAACAAAGTCTCTGCTCGTGTTTGGTTAATGACTGCGGGCCAGGCTGCGCCCGGTAATTGATTTCCTTTCTCCAGGCTATTTTCAGCCGCTTTAGGTGTGTGCAAGAGCTCAGCTCCTTAATAGCTCCTCCAGCTCCGGTGGAGCAGGCGCTGTTAATTGGATCTGCAGGGGTGTCCCCAGCGGGGGGGTGCAGGCTGCCTGTGCCCATGGAAGTGTCCTGGCTCCCAGGGTGTGGGGACAACATGGGGCTGTGCATCGATGGGGGTTCCATGCATGGGCCCCAAGAGTGAGCGTGGTCTGGGTCCTATAAGGTGGCTTGTGAGCTGGGCTGGGGGGTTTGGGAGCAGCCCCCTCTGGGATGAGGGTTTGGAGGGGATGCAGAGGGTTCCCTGCACTGCTGAGCAGGCAGATGAACATCGGTGTCCATCCGTCCATCCATGCGCGTGTGTGTTTAGGAGTCACGGTGTGTGATTTATTCACGAGGACACCGCAAGGAGAGTGGGCCCATTATTCCCGGTGTCTGCATCAGTGCCTGACAGCTCCCTGGAATTGAAATCTCTTACTTAAAGCCTCTGGGGATCATTTTTAAATATCAGCCGTGACACTCAAGGACTCGCTCCCAAATGACATCCTCCCTTCTGCCATGGGGATGGGTGACCCCCGGAATGCCATGCACACGGATGTGCTTTGGCAGTGGGTTTGATGCCAGCCCTGCTGTGATCACCCCAGCTCAGCGGTGCCTCCGGGTGAGGTGGGAGCCCTGTGTCCCCAGCACCATCTCCATGCAGGCAGCTGGGCGCAAGGTCCTGCTGTGCTTTCGTACAGAGGGGGCACGCTCCTCGTGTCTTCTCAAAGTTTCATTTCTGTTTGGTTATCAAAAGAACAAACAAAGCTCTGTCAAAACAGCCTGCGGCATGTTTTAATGCAAGATAGATTTGGGCAAGGGAGGGTTGAGCTTGCTCATTTATTGCCTTTCTGCTTTGTCTCTGAGCACTCCCCACCAGGGAAGGTGATGCCGCAGCACCCACCCGTTCCCATAAGAGGTTCGCCCATCTGCGAGGCCAGGGGGGTCCAGCCTGGTTTGGGGGTGATGGAGCAGGAGCCCTGCCTCCCTTCTGGGGTGGGGATAGGCCAAGGACGTCTGGTGGCAGCAGGGTCCAGCTTGGGGATGGGGGTGATGCTCGGGAGCAGCGGGTGAACCGAGACATGGTTATTCCCTTTATCTGCTTATCAGCTGCTGGCGCTGGGGGTGATAAGGTGGCTCAGCACACCCTGGTGTGTCCCTGCTGCTCAGTGCAGGTCCCCGGCAGCCACCTCTGCTTCTGACAGCTCAAAGTCGCTTGTCCAGTGCCTCCCACTCGTGAGTCACCGGTGGCCACCACTCACGCTGCATGTGTGGTGCAGCAAACCCACCTCCTACCTGCACGCACACCGCCTCCCCTCT